ATATATATATATATATATATATATATATATATATATGAGCTTAATATTTGAGAACTGCAAAATATGTGAGATCAGTAAGATTCATCTAAAGCCACATATTTAAGATAATTAAGGAGATAATTATCCTTATTTATTAAATCAAAATTAATGCATTTTTAAGGAAATTTTCGTACTTATCTTTTTCTCTCTCATCTTCTCTCTCCGATCTCTGTATTAATGTACACATCGTGCATACAAGGTAAACACATTGTGAACACCATGTAAAAAAACCTTAATAATTTTTTACTCGGGTGTTCACAAATGGTATATTTAAATTTAGTTTATTGATTTAGTTTGTGTTCATAATATGTTCACAAACTATATCAAATCTCGTAGATTTAGAGTGTGTTCACAATGCATTCACAAACCATAAAAGTACTTCTAAGAAAGTGTTCACAATGTGTTCACCTTGATTTTATATTCAATTACGTGTATACACGTGTATGTTATGGAGAATAAAGAGAGGATAGAGAAAATAGGAGCAAGATTGGAGAAAAAATAGGAGGGGGAGAGGAGAGAGAAGAAAAAAGGGTTTTAGTTGTATTAAAAAAAATCAATTAATTTCTCAACAACAAATCAAATGTTTAATTAGGAAATTAATAATTGTAGTATTTTTAATTTAAAATATTAGTTAAAGTCATTTTAGAGATTCTAAAAGTCTCCTCGCTACGGCAATTGCTTTAGCAAATCTTATTCCGACAAATTTTATGTGAACACAATATACACACTGTGATACCAAAAAATATCGTTAAAAAATATATATATACAAACGATTAACGATATTCAGTGTGATACCCATATATACATACAACATACACATTGTGATACCTTTATAAAGCAACTAAAATAACAAAAAATACACATGTGATACCCTTTCTAAAGCAACGAAAGTAACAAAAATGCATATTGTGATACACTTTATAAAGTAACGAAAATACATTGTGAACATTATCAATGTAATATACTTGTATCCACAAACATCTTTAAAAGACAATATATATTAGATGATTAAAATTAATTAATATATTTAAAAATATCAATTAAATCTTTTTATGAGTTGTTATAAATAAAATTACTAAATTACCCTCTTACCTTGTTTAAAAAATATCATTAAATATCTCGAATGAATGATTCACAATGAATCTCACGATTATCACAAACTAAACAGTTCTCATTTAATTAGTCTCATATATAAGGGCCTAATCAAATGATAACTCTATAAATTATGATAACTGTAAGATCCAACCTCAACCAATTAATTATTGATATTATTATTTTATTTTTTTTGTTTCTTTATTTAATAAATGGCTTCAAAGTGTAACCAGGTCGATAGAAACCGGTCGTCGGGGGCAATAGAGCCCCCTACTTCTCGGCACGGTAATTCTGGTGGAGTTTCTCCATCTTGTGGCAGCATTGGGCGGATGGATGTCATGGGTGGTATCGCGTAATTCTCCTCATCTCCACTGAAGACATGGCATCGTTTGTACCCTCTTTATGTGGGTTGTCAAACCCTCCAACAATCTTTCCGGCTTTCGTGAAAAACAATTTGCTTAGATTTAGATGCATCACGATGATTTATGGGTTTTATGAATGACATCACTATGTATCATAGTGTTTCTTGTGTATATATTCTTTTAACGGTGTTTCTTGTTGCCAACCCTATAATGATAAAATATTTTTATAATGTGATACAATGAGTATCACAGTGGGTTTCTTGTTTGTATCTTGTATATGTCCTTTTAACACAATGTGTATTAGAATATCACAATGTGCATCTATATATTTTAGGTATCACAATGTGTATCACATTCGGTTTGTGCCTTACACTTAGGAGTTCTTGGCCTATATATCTATATATTTAAGTGTGTGTGTGTATATATATATAGAGAGAGAGAGAGAGTTGGGTTCACGTGAGACCCGTAAGACCAATTTATGTTCATTGATCAACTTTATAAGCTAATGATCTAATGGTATAAAGTTGTACGGTGGCAATTTTGTGATTATTAATTGGTCTTACGGGTCTAACGAAAAACTCTTGGTCTCACATGATCTCAAGTCTATATATATATATATATATATATATATATATATATATATAGGGTTGGGTTCACGTGAGACCAAGGGTTTTTCGTGAGACTCGTAAGACCAATTTATGTTCATTGATCAACTCTTTAAGCTAATAATCTAATGGTCTAAAGTTGTACGGTGGCAATTTTGTGATTATTGAGAAGTCCCGTGGCAATTTTGTGATTATGAATGTTCATACTATAAATCTAATCCAAGGGTTGAGAATTGGTCTTAATGGTCTCACGAAAAACTTTTGGTCTCACATGATCCCAAGTATATATATATATATATATATATATATATATATATATATATATAGGAGCGATCAAATGAAAACCACTCCAATTTGTAAAAACCGTAAAAACTACTCTCATTCGTCTATTTCATTGTTTAATCTAATGAATTTTTTTCATGAAATTGTTTAATCTTGTGAAATTGTTTCATATAATATATTTTTTTGATTAAGTTGTTTCATATATGTTTATGAAATTGTTTCATATACTACTTAATGAAACTGTTTCATGTATTTCTCTAAAATTAATGAAACTGTTTCATGTATTTCTCTAAAATTAAAATAATGAAGATGATAATATCCATGATTAACAYCATCCACAATAAAAATGATTAATCAACCTCTCATAATTACAAAAAAAATGAACAAAATGAAAAATTATGATTAGTTGAATGAAGTTTGTACGGTTTGTACAAATTAAGTTGTTTTTATTTGAACGCTCCCATATATATATATATATATATATATATATATATATATATATATATAGGAGCGATCAAATGAAAACCACTCCAATTTGTAAAAACCGTAAAAACTACTCTCATCCATCGTTAATCTTATGAAATTTTTTCATGAAATTGTTAATCTTGGGAAATTGTTTCATATAATACTTTTTTGATGAAATTGTTTCATATGTGGTTATGAAATTGTTTCATATACTACTTAATGAAATTTTAATGAAACTGTTTCATGTATTTCTCTAAAATTAAAATAACGAAGATGATAATATCCATGATTAACACCCTCCACAATAAAAATGGTTAATCAACCTCTCATAATTACAAAAAAATAAACAAAATGAAAAATTATGATTGGTTGAATGAGGTTTTCACGGTTTTTACAAATTGAGTGGTTTTTATTTGAACTCACCCCTATATATATATATATATATATATATAGAGAGAGAGAGAGAGAGAGAGAGAGAGAGGGGGGTGGGAGGTTCAAATGAGAATCTATAACTAAATAAAAGAACACCAAAACAATCAAATCACGTACAAAAATTAATGAATTGCATTAGGCCTTATTAATAACTGTATCGGACCTTCATGGGTTTCAGTGCTCTAAATAAAATATACTATATCTTGATGGGTTACATTGAATCTTAATAAAATGTATAAAGCTTTGATGCACTAAAACCCAATAGAACCCATTAAAACCCAATTGATCCATTAAAACCCAATTAAACCCAATAAAATTGAATAAAGCCCGATTGAAACAATTAAAGTCCAATAAAATTGTTTAAAACTCAATAGATCTATTAATGTTCAATCAATATCCATTAAAGCCCAATTAAGATCCTTTATGATTAATTTAAGCTCAATCAATATCCAGTGAAGTCCACTAAGATTCATTAAAGCTCAATAAGACCATTTATGATCTTTGGTGACTTATTACGTGTTTGTATGCAGATATGTACTACATATGTATGTGGTGTGTATTGGATTCAATAAAACCACTAAGACACACTATAGCTCAATAAAACTCGTTAAGAACCATTAGTAACTCTTTATGACTTATTAAGGCCAATAACACATATTACATGTTTGTATGCAAGTATCTACTGCATTTATCCATGTGATATGTATTTGACTCGATAAGACAATTATAACCCACTATAGCTTATTCCTTGTGGAGAGTCCCTATACATCTTTGTCACCGCATCCACGCCATCGATACTAGTCATGCCCACTATGATCACTCTATTCCATGAAAAGAATACACTTGTATATTACGTAATGTTAGAACCAAATAATTTTTAAATCTATTCCTTTGCCTTTTTACACAGCTTATTAGTTGGTATTCTTAATCGTGATTAGTTCATCAACTAACTTTTTAACTAACAACCAGGTTTTTCTCCTGACAACTAATTTATTGATGAAGGAATACCTTAGGAGAGTGGTTGAAATATAATTTCTTACCTAAATGATGTCGTTCTATATAAAAATCATCTCGTTCCAGACCCATGTAAGAACTTATTTTTACTATAGCTATGGCCGAGTATTGGTCTAAGTCCTAATTATATCGATCTCTTAATTCTATCAGTGGATATTTAATTTTTATAAGCAGGTCTACCCAAACAACGTTCAGACAATTACAATCACATACAAGTATATTCGATTAGAACCACTACCAACGTCGACGATACAAATTGGAACTTACCGATGCAACCCTACTTGTTGGTATCGTTGACCCGACCACTAAAACCACTAGCAACATTGACAATGACAAGCACGATATTAACACATATCAAGAACGCATTTAACTAGGGGCGGACCTATAAAGGACCCAGGGAGCGGTCTCGTACACCCACTCAACCGATTTTTGCAAGCAAGTTTTTTTTTTAAGAGTGTGTTGGGATATTAGAAAATACAAGGTACATCAACCAAAAATCGAAAATGTGCCCCCAAAATGAACTTTTAAACCCGAAAAACAATGCATCTAAATCAACCAAAAAACTGAAGAAAATAGAAAACAAAACCCTCGAAATGGTGGAATTCGACTAAAGCACATACGCCGAAAACGTAATCTTGAATCATGTTAAAAACACAACACTTACGACAAGGGTATAGTCTCGCGTTTTGACTTTTCCAAAAGATGGAACCGCAACTTTAAGGTCTCTAATCCACCTTAAAGGTGCAGCTCGCAGTGGCAGTGTATTTTATGGGCCGATTTGCAACGATGTTTACGAGCTTTTTGTTAACCACATTAACCGATCCCTATTCTATTATGTCCTGCTTTACAACCTTCATTTATATGTAATCATATCAATTACATCGTTTTCTTGAGAAAAATACACGATTTCTTTTATCTATTTTGGTAATAGGAATGACAATTATTACAAGGCAATTACACACCTTTTAGGTTTTCTTTATGAAAAATGGCACCTACATTCACGCCAATTAGGTTTCAGAAGCCACCGCAGCCGCCACCGCAGCCGCCACCACAACCACCGCCAGCAGCATCCGAAACCATATCTCCGATCAACAGCCCACCTAGTGCTCCTCCCAGCAACCCGGCTCCCAATCCCATACCGAATTTGCTTTTCTTTTGAGCCTGCTGTGGTTGTTGAACCGGCGGGTATCCATACCCAGGGCCAGGTGGAGGATAACCACCGTACCCTGGTGGTGGTGGAGGGTAACCACCGTAACCCGGTTGTTGCTGGTATGGGTGTCCAGCCTGTGCTTGAGGGTACCCGGCTGGTGGAGGATAATACCCACCTCCGGCTGGTGGGTAAGCTCCGGGAGCAGCTCCGGCAGGTGGGTAAGATCCGGCGACAGAAGTGGGTGGTGGATAAAGTCCGGAAGCAGCGGCCGCCGGCGGGTAAGGTCCCTGAGCAGCATACGGCGGTGGATAGGCTGAACTAGATCCAGCGGCTGGGTAAGCCGTAACAGGCTCATCCTTCTTATCAGCTTTCCCAGCAGGATAAGCCGTAATCGGCTCCTCCGCCTTATTAGGTTTTCCGGCAGGATAAGCCGTTATCGGCTCCTCCACCTTCCCATATCCGGCGGCTTTCTCCCCAAATTTATACGAAAAACTGAGTTCCCCTTTTGGCTTACCAGACGGCTTCCTCACCTGATAACTAACAAACTGCAACGGCTTACCTCCGGACGACACGCCTTCCAATAACTCCTTGATCGGAACATGAACTTCTCCCAAATCCTTATCGCCGAACATCCCTTCCGTTTTGATCTTAACCACAAGTGTTAAACGATTCTGTAAAGCAGCAGATTCATCGATCTTGAACTTCATCGGAGAATTCCAGGTAGGGTTTGAATCTCCATCCTTATCGACATGGGTTTTCTGCTTCTGTTCTTGATTTCCGGCGCCGTCGATGTAAACGACGGCATACACATCCATCTTGCCGACGAGATTGACTTTATTGAGTCCTTTTGCGGAAATGATTGTGAGCTCTAACGATCTGTCCGCCATGGCTGATTGCTCTTGCCTTGAATTGAATTGAAATCACCAACTGAAATTGGGAATTGGAGGATATATAGGACGATATCACCGAGTCTAGAGATAAAATTCTAAGTCAACGGAGAAAAATAGATGGCAAATTCGAGAAAACGGACAGTGCACGTTGATCATGATGATAGAATAAATCTACACCGTTGGATCATAAATTTTTTCAATTGTTTTTTACAGGGTAATCTCTAATTTTAATCTTAGGTTTAGTGAAAGTTAATTGTTAGTTTATAAGTTAGTTGGTAACTGATAAGTTGATTGATGAACATGTTTAACACAATTAATTGATGAAGATGTAAAATGATTAAAAAAGGTATTTTAAAAAATTAATCAATTATAATATTTTAAAATATAATTGAAACAAATTTATGATATTATAATATATTAATTAATATAAACAAGATGGTAAAAAAATATGTTATATTGATTAAAAGAATTTTAAATTGATTGTTATACATATAATATGAATAAAAGTAAAGATGATTTACTTTATATATCCTAATTAATTAATATTATTTAAAAATATATTTAATAATTAAATTAAATATTTTATTCAAATTATTTAAAGCATTTTTATTATTTATGAAATAAGGATATAACTTTAATCTTAATGTTACATAAACATTATTAAACTAAAAGGGTATCCGCGCAATACAGCGAGATATATCTCGATTTTAATACGTTTTTTAAGAGTTTTTATTCTGTATCTCAAGATGTTATAATACGTTTTTATGTGGTTTTAAGAAAGAGATAATGTTTTTATTTTTGAATAAAATATAAATTTGAAGATATCATAAAATTTCGAAAATAAATGTATCGATATTAGTATCAAATTAACTATTTAAAAGTTATTGAATTTATGTAATTTATTTAATTTAATTTTTTATTATAATTTAGTTTATATTTAATAACAAAGTAATTTATTTTTGATTTAATAATATGATTTTTTATAACGATAATAATTAAGAATTATGTTAGAACTCAATGATTATTCTAATTATATTTTAAAATATTTATATTTAAAATAAAATATTTATCTGGAATTTGATTATGTTTATCTGCAGTTAGGTATACGAATTCAAAAATGGAGCTTTAATAAGTTGTACTTACGCACGATTTACTTGTAATCTTAAATTTTAAATAATATGCATTTATAAACAGTACTTCATGTAAAAAAAGAATGGTTTTTAAGAGTTTTTGTCAAATGTTTTATAATATAGTATAGATTGTTATATTTACATTTAGATAATTAAATACATTTAATAATTATTATAAAAATAGTATGAAAAAAAACCGATATCTTTAATAATTAATAAATAATATTAATGTATAATATATAATTAACAATTAACAATTAATTTTTAATTTATTAATTAACAATTGATATTTATTTTTGTTTTAATGAATGTTCTAGAAAATTGTGAAAATTATCTATCCAATTGGTTGCTTAAAACTTAGTCTATGTTTCTTTTTTCTTTTAATTTGAATAGCAACGAAAGTGACATGGACGCGGTATTCACGATGTGGAAATCTTCTTTTTCTATTAAAACCGATTTAGTTTTGTTTTGAAATAACATTATAAATAGATGTTTGATAGTTGTTGAATGGTTTGGTACAAATTAATTAAGAAGTTTTTATGATATAGTATAAAATAAAATATAATTATTTAGTAATTGTTTACAATGAAATTAGGACGTTGAATGGTTAAGGAAGACTTAAGATACAAAACAATTCATAGAGTTTTAGAACTATTAATAGGCAGAGTTTTTTTTGTCGAGCAAGATTCATCTCTTAACGATTTAGAGATTATATCTTAATAGAACTATTAAAAGGTAAACAAACTACCCCTAAAATCAAGTGCAAAATTTTTCAAAACTTTTGTAAAATAATAATGAAACATCCAAATCGTTAAAAAATATTAACTTCAACATATTTTTTATTCTAGTTATTACATATTGATTATATTATTAAAATCTTTTATTAATTTAATAAAATATTATTGTTTATTTAAAATTTTAATTTCAATATTTTCTATCAGTAAAATACATTAAAAAATATTTCTTTCTTATTGTAATCAATTCTTTTTGGAGGAAAAGACTTAGTTGAAAGTGCTAGAAATTCTTAAAGACATACCATTAGAAAAGCTTCATTGACTAATTGGGTAGATCAAGAAAACAACAGTTGCAGCTGCAACAGGAGTTGAATATGCAACAACAATCCAAGATCGCATACCCAGATGGAAACAAAGTTCCCACTCAACTGTAAGCTCCCAAGTCATTTCTTTTTTCAACAATTTTAATTCTTGCAATTTTTTCAAAGTAAAGGGAAGATATATTAATGATCTTTCAAGGAGCAATCATCGTTCATACAATACGAAAGAAAAAGAGGAAGCTTAAAATACGTAACAAGACAAGGAGAAAACACAATAGTGTTGTGCAAGAGCATGAGCCATCCCATTTGCTTGTCTCTTAACCGACTTAACATAGAAAAAGTCATGATGATGTAAAAGAATACGACAACGGGTAATTATCCCCAAACTCCAACTGATCATCATTCGTGGAACTAAGCATGTCCACCACAAGCTTGGCATCAGTCTCGAAAATCACTGTGGTAAACCCAATTCAATAGCCTAGAATAAAGCATCATGAAGGGCCAATGCCTCACATTCACGGATAGGAGTTAGTTTATGCGCAAGCCTCGACCTTGCTGCGAAGAAGGAGCCTCGATCATCTCGTATAACAGTCGACATACATGCACGTTGATCACCTTAAAAGAGGGTAGTCCGTATTGCACTTGAAGAAGCCCATTGGGGGATTATGCCATCGATACTGACAATCATGAGGAGTCAAGATCACTTCTTTTTTCTCTCAATGTTAAAGCCTTACGCCAATTCCCATGCACTCCTATTGCTAATTCTGACCACCAAAGCAACATCTTGAGGATCGTTAGACCACAAAATACCATTGCACCACAACCAAATACTCCAAAGAACCATGAGAAATTTTTCGACCACAAGAGCAGGACTATCGTGAAGGACGCCAAAAAACAGCTTCATAAAGCTATTAACACGTCTAGTTTGTCTGTCTATAACCTCCCAAAGACCAGCTTCAATCCACACGTCTTTGGTATTCGGACAATCCATGAAGAGGTGCCAATTATCTTCTGTATTGCGATCACAAAGGCCGCAGATACAAGGCGTCTTGAGTCCCCTATTTTGGAGGTTGACACGGGTGGAGAACATCTCTTGCAACCCTCCAACTTGTGTGGGATGTTAGCTTGCCAAATTTTTGTCCACTCATCATTCACAAAAAAAGAAAGTGCGAGTTGGGATCAATCTTTTCGATTAGCAAGCGGTACCTAGATTTGACCGAATAAATCCTGTTAGGAGTCAAATGCCAAATGATTCTATTCCGGCCATAATTCGAAATGGGAGGAATGCTAAGGATCCCTTTCTTGTCATGTAGGGAGAATAAAGACCCAATTTTAGCCACATCCCACTCAAAAGAGTTTGGAAGATATAAATCAGAAATCCAAGTTGCACGCATCTCATTGTTACACTCTCCAACCGAAAATTATGATCATTGCGAAGCCATGGGTCTTGATTTAAAACTAAGGGGCCGTTTATTTAAACGCTTGCACAATATACGTTTACGGGTGAGAGTCAACACCGTAATCTATTTTACCGGGTAAGATTGGATTCCGTCAAAACGATATTGTATGCAACAATTTACCCGATAAACGTTTACCATGTAAGAGTCGTCACACTCACTTACCGGGTATGACTCTACATCTTTATCTTCGCTCTTATTGGGTAAGATTATTGGCCCTATCATGTTCATATTTTAAGGTAAATGATTCAATAAATACTTACCGGATAAGCATTTAGTAAACGACCCTTAGTTAATATAGTTTGTAAAAATGTCGGAAATTGGTCCCTTTTACAAACAACCTAAAAACTTGTTAGATGACAGCCATTTAAACTTTTTACATTTTCAGTCATTTTTAAAAAAAATTAATATTATATGTTATCCACGGTGTACCTTTATGTCCCCATTTCGAACGACTAAGATTGCACCACCCCTCCCCTCAATCTCTTCTTTGCTTTAGATCTTTCAGGAAATTGACAGAAATAACCAACGAGTAAATAGGGTTTCATTTTTTAGTTTTTTGGCCCAAATTTCATTTTCTTAGTCGATCTTTATGCAGAAGACTTGTGCATATGAATAAGGTTTGGTTTTCGACAAAAAAAATCCTTAAAGGAGAAAGTGGATTTTGCATAAGGATTCCACTTTCTATGTAGGGTTTCTTATTTTAATTTTTTTTTGCCAAAAACCAATCATTACGCATATGCATAAGGACTGTCTAAGAAGTGAATTTGGGTTAGAAAATGACTAAAAGTAAAAACATCTATCAACTTTGGCTATTTCTATAAATTTCTCACACATTTCCTAAATCGAACCTCACCTCACTTTGTTCTCTTCTTTCACCTTTTAGAATGAGAAAGCTCACACCCATGCAACACGCTAGAGTTCTCGGTACTAAAATCTCTTACCTCCCCCATCCTTCTGGCACCAAATGAAGTCAGCAAAATGTGGCTTCATTTTCGACTCAATTGATTCATGTTAATCCAAACTCTCTCGGTGATTTAATGATGACCCTTTATACTTAGCGAAAAATACTTAGTTATGTTTTTGTTTAGTTTCAACGATCATCTCTGAGTCTATTCAGTATCTGTTGAACATGTATTGTAAACTTTTCTAAAGGATAATATTCTTCAAGAAGACAAAACTCACACTGAAGGAACCTTCAGAAATGTCGAAGATGTAGCTGAAGATGGAGACAACAGTTCGTGATCTGAAGCGAATTCAGCGAAACAGACGTGTCTAAATCAAAGCATGAAATCTGACCAACATTCAACAAACACTGAAAAAACTCTAGAGTTAAACTAGTGTCAACGATCAAATGAATCTTGCTCTACAAAATTAGTGTTTGTCTTATCCTCTTGCATACAAAGGACAA